GGCGAAAACTGTAATCTGTAGACAGAAGAGTCTGCCGCCCGCTCGGGAGTGATTGGGTCAGTCCTTGTTATGATGCTATGTGGACTAGTTTACCCACTGAGAAAACCAGTTTATCTTTCTGGCACGTCGAAAATGTTCTGTGCATCTCGGACTCTCTCACGCCCGACCTATCCCACTTCGACGATATCCACGTCCGCCGTCTCAGCTGTAGATAGTTCACTCAGCATCAATCCTCGGTATCTCTTTGCCCCTCTGAGATCTCCTGGAATCCCAACGAGCGCCTCATTGCTAAGGTTTCTCGGGCAGCAGGCAGGGGGCACCCTTCCACTGTGGGAACTCCTCTTTTCCCAGTGGAGTCCAAATAAGGCGCAAGTCTGGAGAATGGGAGGCAGGGCACCGAAGCCGGGAGAGCCTGAGGGTCCCTGAAGAGAGTCGGGGACGAGGAGGGGTAGACTAGGTCCGTAGCTGCAGCAGACGAAAGGAAATCTGGATAACCGCATCCCATCGAGCGCCTGGTAAGGGGGCGGGGCTTTTCTCTTTTCATTTTATGAAAATGTTTTCTAAAACAACTACTTATTTGCCAAAGTATTCCGAAAATGTAGGACAGTGAGAAATGACAAGCATACATGAGGCGAACCCCGCCCCGTCAAGAGTGACGGGCAGCAGCAGTTGGTGCACACCCGGCAAAGTTCGCCGCGGCGCCCTCGCGCACACCTAGCGCGGCGCCCAGGCCGCGTGTCCCGGCTCTCTGCCCTCGCTGCGTTCGGCCGGGATCGTCCCAGAACAGTCTTGAGCCGGGCGAACCCGAAGCCCAGACTGTGCGGGCGCTTTCCTGTTCCCATTCCACTGGGTAACCTAGTTGTGAAAAGCGATTATTCTGATACCTTGCTAGAAAAATTCACAAAAATCCACTTAGAGTCGACCTCAAAGTGTATTTTTGCGCCACTAGCAGAGAAATTCCCCTACAGAGATGGCTGTTACAAAACAGCGTGGGAGACGAATGCTGGTAAACCCACTCCGGGATGGGGGTGGGAGGGTGGGGGAGAGCGTGCTCTTTTTTTCCTATTGCCCTTCTCTTAGACCTAGCTCAGCGCTCTGCCCTGACCTCTCCACTCAAGTGCTCCTCCTCTCGGCCTCTTCCTTGGAGACTACGATGCTCACGCACCTCATCCCCACACGCTGTGTCTTCTCCTTTTCCATTGCGCATTCAGCGGTAGGTGGGCTCACCTCTGCTTACCGCCGCGGTGCCTCCTTGGCCCCTTGGCCACTACTGCCTCGGTGTTGTAAGCATTCGCTCGTCTTCTCTATGGTATTATATAAAGAAAAAGGCAACAAAAAGAAAGAAAGAAAGAATCCACATTCGTGATACCTGGACCTAAAGACTACAACTTTGTCACACTCAATTCCAGTTAAAACACACACACACACACACACACACAACTTTTGGTTTTCCTTTTAACAAACCAAGAGCAGTAATTCATGATGACCTGTCTGATTGATTTATTAATGCCGTGAATGGAAATCAAGTGCACAAAATAAGCCTAAATCCTAAGTGAACAATGGGGGCCCTGCCCAATGCGCAGAACCAGGCCCGCTGGAGGTCTTGGGTGCCCGCCTGCTGTGGCCTTCGCAGGCATGACCCATGGCAGGGGGTGGGGGTCTTGGCAGAGGCAGAGACGTGATTAATCCCGCCGCGCCATCCGGCGGGTTAAGACCCTCAGAAAAGCTCGGAGTGAGTCGCCAATCAACGTAAGGTCTAACTTGGATCAGCTTTGGAAAATAGAGCCCGGGCTGGATAACCAGAGAAAAGAAAACTGCTCGCGGGAACCCGGGTAGACGCCCAGGAAGGGTAAATGAGATGGGTGGGGCGCGTGGCAGAGAAGGTACCCGCTTCTCTCCCTCACTCAAGGCAGATCTCATCCAAAGAATCACGCTTTGCGTCAAGAGCCGAATGGACCTGCCCCACACTGGCACGATGGGGCATTTGTGCGACCCGAACTCCTGGGATTCTTCAATCCCCAAGTGACTGCCCTACCGGAAGGCCACCTCATTGAAGAAGCCAGATCGCAGGGACCAAGAGCAGACGACGCGGGGTCTTAAACACAGCCCCACTCTCAACTAAAATTATAGATTCCCAGAGTACGGAGGTGGGTGTGGGCGTTCACAGGTGCTCCCCACGCAAGGAAGGAGAACGAATTAGGGAACACGGCAAAGCCTCTGGCCCAAGTGGAGTGACGGGAAGGGAACAAAAAGACTCGCTATGAACTTGCCAAGAGGAAGCGCAGAAGGAAGCGAGGGAGGGGTCGCTGGAGAGAAGGCTCGCTGAGCCAGCGGAATCTGCGATCGCAAGTCCAAGGGAGCAGTGGGTCTTGTTCTTAAAGAGATAAGGCTACAGGAGGGTTGAAAGGAGCTATAAGTGGCGGCCACTTGAAGGTCAAAAACACTCAGATCTGCTTAATTTAAGTCTAGGCTTTTAGTATGGCGGAAAGTCGCGTTGACAAACGCATCTTCCCCTCTCCAGAGAAAGAGTGGTGGGGGAAAAAAAAAAGATACTATAGGCCCCAGCGAGATTTGAACTCGCGACCCCTGGTTTACAAGACCAGTGCTCTAACCCCTGAGCTATGGAGCCAACTGCGAGTCTGCAGTCTGCGCACGAGCAGTTGATACCGCTATGATCATCGCGCAGCCGCAGACAGAAGAGCTACCCCGAAAGGCGGGGCCCACGCCCCTCAGCCAGTGACCGCCTAGTCCGGCTGCTGCAGCTGAGTCTGCAACATCAGCAAGTGTCAGTGTCACAGACTGAGCCGCAAATCCTGGGAGAAAGTCCACCGTAGAGGGGACCACGTGGGTGGGCGGAAGCCAGGAAGGATCGGGTGAGGGCGGGGCGCGCTGCGGTAGGGGGTGGAATTGTTGGAGGGCCCGGGGCCTTCCGCCTGGCCTGGGAATCAGGGGCAAGACTTGAGTAGAGAGGTCCACTACTAATTGTGTATGAGAATAGCGTTCAAGGCCGAGGCCCTGAGTGGAAGGCTAAAGGAATGGTGACAATATGCCTGTCCTGAGAGGAATCCAGCTAGCCTGGTAGAAGAAATGATCAGGAGGGAGAGATGGGTAGAGAATGGTGGGGAAATCAGGTGGTCTGTGTGTTAACGACTGCATCAGGACAGGAGACCCAGATCACTGGGTAGCCAGGCCCAAGGAAGTTTCTTAGGTGCCTTCCCATCTGGATGCTGAGGACCAGTGTGAGGGTCTGGTGTCAAGGATGTGGGTTCCCATATCTGTGGCAACTTAAAGCAAATTAGGAAAAAACAACCGTTAGAGGCCTGTCTTGGACTTTGGGAGAGCTGGGTCCTTCATGGCCCCCCAAAGGACCCACGGAGCAAAGGGCAGAGGTTGAAAGCCCAGGTAAGGGACAGGAACCCTAGCCCGGAAATGGTCAGAAAGTGTGTCTGTAGTTGGTGGAACTTGGTCTGATGGCCCAATCTGTTCTTTGGTGCCTTCAAGGCCAGATGACTTTGATCACTGGGTAGCCAGGCCCAAGGAAGTTTCCTAGGTGCCCTCCTGTCTGGATGCTGAGGACTAGTGTGAGGGTCTGGTGTCAAGGATGTGGGTTCTCATATCAAAGTAGCTCTCAAGGATCCAGGACCAATGAACAGGTGGTGTCAGAAGGAAACCAAATTAGGCCAGTCATTGCTCTCAGAGGCCCAGACACCTCAGAGAGCTTACAATGGTCAAAGGATGGAAGAGGAAAATGTATACACAGGCATACTCACACCAGCATTGTGACATCCTACGTCACTGCACCACCCTGGAGACCAAGAGAGAACAGCTCTCTTACCAACCACATGTGATTGTTATGTACTGTTGTTACATCTTCGGGTATGTATATATCTATCTAGTTATTCTACAAACTCTGACAGACATATAGTCATATTCACATATACACACAGACAGCCAGCTCTGCAGTGCCCAGACCTGATCCTACAGGCACCTCTACCAGTCACCCTACCTTTTGTGATCTATAATGTGTTGCAGTACGTCAGCACAGTTATTAGAGGATAGAAAGGGTAATTGTAACACTCAGTCAAAAAGCCATACAAGCCATACAGCCATACATGAGGGCTTGATGATAACATTAGGCAATTTAATTAGTAAATGAATGTTAGAAATGGATTTTCCTTGTAGAAATCAGTGTATTCAAATACATGGATTGGGTATAGTGTTCTAGAGCTAAACAACATAGGATTTACCCTTTGGGATGCTGCTGTAGGCTGAACTCTTAAATGATCCTGTCCCTAGCCTATAGGACACTGGATTCTGATTGCCAGGTGTTATGTCCACTGGGTCTACCTCTGCTGCTGCTGCTGCTAAGTCACTTCAGTCGTGTCCGACTCTGTGCAACCCCATAGACGGCAGCCCACCAGGCTCCCCCGTCCCTGGGATTCTCCAGGCAAGAACACTGGAGTGGGTTGCCATTTCCTTCTCCAGAACAGTGTCATGCTGGCCTGAACAAAACATCTCTCTTACATCTCTCTTAAAGTGTGCTTGAAACATCTCAGGGACAGAGCATGGAAACTCCAAGATGCTTGTAAGTCAGACTATTTAATTGTCACTGTCCCTGCATGCCAACAATATGTGCAGGACAGAATTAGGTCTGAGACTGGCTTTCATCTAGCTAGTTAGGTAATGGGGGAGGGAAACCTTTGACCTTCACTTAAATATGGGGTGGCTAATATTAATATTTTACAACAACAAATCAATAATAGGGTGTGACCATACTGACCTAGGTCTGTTCATACCTAAACCCTACGTGCATACTTATAAATGCCCTCTATAAAATTTACATGGCCCTGCACCCCATTCCTGAGATCTAAGACATATACACACATACAGATGTTCCTCACACACATAAACACACATGCTCACCTTGTCTGGCAGAAACTTTGCTCACAACTGCTCTTGCATTCAAACTGGGGGAGTTAAGAATTAGCCAAGGCACCATATAAATGAGCTCACAGTCTGTATTTCCATCCCCCTTTCCAGGAGCATACTAAGCAGTGAACAGCCCACCTCCACTCTCCCAGAAACACAGCCATACAGAATCTGGGGAACAATTAGCCAAGGGACTAACACCGGCCAGGGTACAGACTGAGCAGACCGTGAAACCAGGGTCTTCTGCCATTGGCATACATTTGAGAAGCTCCTGGAACTGTCTGTCAGGGATATGCCTGTGCCCTGCACATTTCCATGCTGGAGTTGGTTGCTTCTGTAGAATTATAAGTGCTGCCTTGAGTTTCAAAATTCCATAATCTTTGGTCTCCTTACCCAAGGGAGACTGTACTTTGGCACTTGGAAAGGGTTTAGGCAAATGTGAGATCGTGGGCCTGTCATTGTGGCCAAGGATGTACATATACTCTCATCAGGCTAAGCTGTGTCGAGTGACAGCAATGCCAATAGGCTGTTGTCCTGGGCTATTCCTATTGTACATATGAAAATCTCTTCCCAGTTCTGGCCTAGACTCTCCTTTGGGCTGGAAATACCATGCTCCTCCCTGAGTAGACGACTTTGTCAAGCTCGCCAGATCCAGGTCTCTGAAGGCAAAGCTGGCAGCTGACAAGAAGGCAAAGCAGAAGGGATCATGAAGCTGCCCCCTTGCACAGCCAGAGCTTGGTTTTGTTCCATGGAACTAGAGGTCCTGCTGAGCTGGGGTAGTGATAGGAAGCACCTCTGATGGAGCTGGGCTCCTCTCCTCATCCACCTCCACCTCCTACAGTTCAGGCCAAATCCTCACCGGGACAACAGGCAAGAGACAGGAGGGAGAGTCCAAGGCCGTATATTCCCCTGCTCAATTAGCCTTAGAGCCCTTTTCCCCAGTAGCCCGATCTCATGTCTTTGATGTTGTGGTCTGCAGAAGCCCCTCTAAGGCAGCCTGGGGCAACAGTCAGGAAGACAGACCCAAAGTGTCCAGGAGGTTCCATCCGAGGGCAACAACCCTTCCCATGGGCAGCCAGGACTGGGAGGAGTTCACCCTTGGCTGGCTTACTCCCTCCGGGAGACCGGGCAATGACTCTCAAGGCCAGATTCGCAAGTAGGTGCCGGTGGAGCAGACAGAGAAAAGAGGGAACACGCGCTCTTGGAAGTTGACGCGGAAGGTATAGATGTGGCGCATGTCTTCTGCAGCGTAGAAGGACACAGCCCCCACCTCCAGGTCCAGGGCGACCCGCACGCGGGACAGGTGCCCACAGCTGAGGGGCGTCCGTTCAGGGCTGGTCACCGCCCAGTACTGCCCGTTGTTGAGCTGCAGCGCCCAGACGCCCTCCTCCGGGGTGAAGGGCGTGAGACCCTTGCGGCGCACGCTCTCACGGGCCACGCCGAAGGCCCAGCCGTCCTTGGAGCCCACTTCCACTTCCCAGTGGTGCCTCCCAGAGGAGAAACCGCAGGAAGCCAGAACTCGTGTGTTGGTGTCGAAGCGGCGCGGGTGGCTGGGCAGGTCCTGGGCTTGTTGTCCAAGGCGAACGCTCTTAAGATCCAGAGAGAGGATGAGGCGGGGGTTGGCCGTGTCGGGGTCCAAGGTCAGCTCCACTGCGGAGGGTGGGGGATAGGCGGGGTGGGGAGACAGGGAGAAGGCTTCCCATGCAGGCTCCTTGCACAGCTCCCCTCGCCCCACTGTCCCCTCAAATAAGTATATATTGAAATCACACAACTGCAGTTTATGGGCTTGATTTGGATCTCAATTCAAACAAATCAATAAATCCAGTTTAAAAGACCTGAATCATAATTTATGGAAAAGTTTGTCCATAAAGTTTTCTTTGCTATTATATTACCTTTGTGATACTATGTAAAATTTTACTTAAAACATATATGTATTATTAAACTGTATTTTATAGCAAAAAGACACTTGGGGGATTTTGGACACTAGATACTGGAAAGAATCATTAATTTTTTATTTATAACAATGGTTTTCTCTTTATGCTTTTTTAAAAGTATGTCTCTTTAGAGACAGCATACTGAGATATATATGAAATGATATATATGAAATCACAGTTATCTGTGATTTGCTTCAAAATAATCCAGTGGCAAGAAGTGGTTAGGAATGTTTATGAAAAATACTAGTCATGAGTTGATAATTGCTGAAGGTATATGATGAGTACATAATACTTGTTATGCTCTTCTCTCTACTTTAGTGTATGTTTGAAAACTTCCATAATGAAAAGTTAAAATACACACACTTGCTGTAAGTACTACTATGTTCCAGCTCTGTTCTAGGCCCTGTGAATCCCACAGAGGAATATCCCTGCCCTCCCACAGCTTCCTTTCTATGGGGAGAAAGAGGAGAGACAATAAATGATAAAGGGATCAGGAGAGCAGGCTGTAATTTCAACTAGATGGGCCAGGGAAGACCTTACCGAAAATGTGCATATGAGTACAGACATCAGGGAGATGAGAAAGCCAGATAGGTGGCTGTCTGGGGGAAGGGTGTTCGAGGCCCTGGCACAGACAGTGCAGTGTAAAGGCCCTGAGGTAGCTGTGTGCTCCTGGTGCATTCCAGGAGCAGCTAGCGCATGTGTGGCTGCACAGAGTGAACCAGGGGAAGAGTATGCAGTGAGGCTAGATTTCATGAGACCTGAAGGCCAGTGCAAGGACTCCAAACCTTACTGAGTGAGAGGGAGAGGCTGGGCTGTCACAGAGTCCTTAGCAGAGGAGGACATAGTCTGACTCAGTTGGTTTACTAGATAAGATATGACTTAGCTTAGTCATCAGCATCAGGAATATGTGCCTACCCCTCCCCACTTTCCCAGCCCACTGGGGTTAGATCCCACTCACCCCAGAACTCTGCAAGAGTAATAACCGCTTCCCTTCCTGTTTTCAATCTGATCCCTGACCCAGCACACAACCCCTGTCCCCAGAAGAGGTCTTCGTCTGTCTAGGAGTGGGAACAGGGAAGAGAGGTTTGTCCAGGTGACTGACAAGCCCTTCCAGATTTAAATACCCCAAGGTGCAGGGCACTCCTACTCTGGAATGACCCATAGCTTTATAGGCCTATGGGCCCCACTGTGACCTGAAGGAATCATGAGGATGAGGGAGAAAGGACAGCTGACGGCAGAGTTGCTTAGGTAGATGGGCAGAAGGAACCAACCACGCACAGAGCCCAGAGAGACAGTCACTGTATCTCCACATGGCCAAATGACAGGTACTCACTGTCACAACAACCATCATACCTTTTTCCTCTTTCTCCAGCTCTCCCCGAAGATCCTCTGAAGAGAAGAAACATGAATGACATGGACAGTTTCTATCTGGCAATGACAGTGACACCATCTCTTGACTTTTAAGCCCCACTGACTCACTCACTCCCCAGATAACCCAGAGAGGACAGGCAGGTACCGGGCCAAGCCCAAGGGTAGAAAGAGGACAGTAGTCTAACTCTACCTCTTCCACTTCCCCCTCTTTTTTCTGAGTTGAGCTCTCCTTCCTCATCCTTCTTTCTGCCCCTAATGACCCTCGACTCCATCTGTCTTCAGTTGAAGCTTTGTGTCCTGGGGTAGGGGTGGGGGTTCTAAATAAATTAGCCGCCACTAACTGCCCGAACCAATCTGCCTTTGAGAGACACACTAGTTCCTGTTTTATCATCACACAGCTTCTGGAAAGGCACAGCCTTAGGACCCTAAACCACCAACACCAGGACTGCAAGGCCCAGCCCCACACACAGGCCCCTACCTTTGAACTTCTTGAGCAGCCCCTTTAAGACAAAGGTCTTGAGGGAAGCATTCCAGACTTTATTCTTCATCTCAGAAGAGACTGTGGTTGGCTTGGGGGCAGGCACATTGCTGCACCTGCAGGACAAGCACCCTGAAGAAGGCCCACAACCACTGTCCCACTCCCACTGGGCTTGACAGTTAGAATAGTGAGGTCCTCTGGGTAAAGAAAGGTGAAAAGAAGAGCCTGACCCTGTGCCGAATACCCATGGCCAGGCAGCAGAAGTTTGCCTTAGAAAGTACTCAGGTGAGTTGGTGAGGGGAACAGGAGGTGAGAAGTCAGGATGGGGAATGACAAGAGGAAGCACAGTAGAAGAGAAGAGCCAGCTTAGAGAGGCCCAAGGTATTGTTAGGTCCACTCACCTGCTTAGTGTGTTTTTGAATTCCTGGAAGGAAAAGTAAGAGAAAACCAAATCAGCATTCACCTTTGAGAAAATAAAACTGGTCCCTTATTCCAGAGGAATAAGCAATACAGAGATGTATGACCCCACACACACACTGGCTGCATGGGCCCCATGTGGCAACAGCTTCCTCATATGGCAGACCACTGCGTGTCTCATCAACAAGGTAGACCCCTCAACCCTGCCCACCCCTCTGCAATTGCTCCCATCATTACAGAATCGTCACTGGAGACAAGTGCCAGGACTCAGCATTGCTTCTGCTTTTAACATCGCCTAAGAAAACTGATGGGGCTTCTCTAGTGGCTCAGATGGTAAAGAATCTGCCTAAAATGCTGGAGACCTGGGTCTGATCCCTGGGTAGCAAACATCCCCTGGAGAAGGAAATGGCAACCCACTCTAGTATTCTTGCCTATACAGAAGAGCCTGGCTGGCTATAGTCCATGGGATTGCAAAGAGTTGGACAGCGCTGAGTGACTAACACTTTCAAGATAACTGACAGCCCCTATGCAACAACTCGTCACTCAAATCAGTGCTTTTTTCCCCATATATTATTATTTTTCTTCTTTTTTATTTTTTAAATTATGAAAGTATGATAACACATTTGCCAGAGACTTGGAAAATATAGAACAAAGTTACATACAGTTCCACTATATATCACAATTATTTTTTAAGTAGATAAGATTTTTAGTTGAAGTTTTAATATCAGACTCTCAAAAACTAATAAAATGAATAGACAGACAAGTAGAAGGATATAGTAGTTCTGAAAAGCACTGTGAACCAATCCAACATAATTAAGATTGATACAATTTTCACACAACAGCAAGATATAAATTCTATTAAAGTTCCCATAGACTATAAACCAGGAAACACTGGAACATATCTAGGGACATAAAGTGTTAGTCGCTCGGTCATGTCCATAAAACAAGGTGAAAAATTTCTTAGACCGGTGCCTTTTAAATGACCATTTTTTTTTTTCTTTTTGGCTGTATGGCTTGTGGGATCTTATTTCCCTGATCTGTGTGAAAGCACAAGGGTCCTGACCACTGGACCACTAGGGAATTCCCTTAAATGACCTCTCTTGATCCATTTGTCCATTTGTGACTTGTGAAGTTTAATTAGTGGATTGTGACTATTTATTTTAGAAGGACATATGATAGAATAGAAAACATCAAAGTGCATCACATGTAGTACAGGTGTTATTTTTGAGACTTTTTTTCACACATATGTATATAATAGAATGCACTGTAAGATATATTATTGTGGATCATGGTCAAGAAAAATTTTAATCACATCCTTTTAGACTGCTAACCCCAGGAAAATCAGGGCTTTTCTCTTTAATACCCTTTGGCTCCAAATTGTGTGATTCTACTAAACTAATTCTATTCTCGCTGCTGTTTCCTTATTTACAAAGTGGGAGGGATAAATTTAAGCCTCCTGCCTTTAAATTAATGACTCATACCCCTGGCCAAGCCAGACTCACCTGGAGAAAGTCAAGATCAGGCTTGCACGTTGTCTCCTGGATCTGACTGCTGAGCTTGGAGAGCTGGGCAATCTCATCCCCAAGCTGGGCCAGGTTCTCATTCTGCTTCTGTGTCACCTCCCGGGACAGCTCCTCTAGGCGGCCTAGGAGCCGACCCTCCTGCTCCACCAGGAAGGCCCGCAGAGCCTGGAACTCCGCCCCTACCTTCTCTTGCTCAGCTGCCATCTGCTTCTGTCTCAGGAGAAGTGAAGTTGAAGAAGGCAAGGGATGTGGTCATCGATGGGTCATCGATCCCATCCCATTTGGATGGGAGCCTCTGAGCCATCTCCCAGGACAGGGTTCCATCTCCCTCAGTGCTAGGGGGTCAGAGAGTCATGTAGACGTACTCACAGTGCACACACTCTAGTTTAAGTATCACAGTTCCAAGCATGCGGTAGCCTCAACATGTGCTTTCCCTTCCCCTGTCACCGCTGTGCCCGTGTGTCACTTTAGACCTGGGCTCTCCCATCAACCTAAGACAACTTCAAACTCACTCCAGAACCACCCAGGGCTGCAGTTTCCTCATTTGAAAAGTGGAAGGGATAAATCAGTGCCTTCTGTAGTCACTGTAAAGATAAGCTGAGGTCCCCAAACACATTTATTTTGTGTTAAAAACAAGACAACAGGCTCCAAGTGGAGTCACTTATGCTAAGCCCCATGTCACCAAACTGAGACCTAATTACAGTTACAGCTCTCCCAGATATATTATCTTAAACCATTCTATAAGGAATGGCCTCCTCAACGTTTGTTTAGTAACCTGTCTGATAAAACCGTGCCAGCCCCTACCCTTGCAGCAACTTTGCAATAGCCAACTCACTATTCTGTGTGTGGCCAAATTTATGATCTTTATTCTGTGGAAATCCAAACACATTATGGTTTCAAGTTACTAGAGTTGGAAAGTTGGAAAACATTAAAGTTGTAGAGTTGGAAAACATCTTTTATAGCACACAGTGAGATCTCAAACATAATGCTGTTGAACTCTTCTTACTTCTATTTAGTTCAACATTTTTAGCAATGACTTAATAGATGATTTACAAGGCAATTTTAAGGTGTGACTTTGAAGCAAAACCTTTGTGGAGCTGGGGGTGCCGGTGAAAATTTGTTTTAAGACATAGAAACTTAAAGTGAACCAACGATGTCACTGGCTGTCAGACAGACAAGCCAACATAGTACCCTAAGTCATTGTTAGGCTGCAAGGCTGAAGCAAGGTATGGAGAAATGGTGCCAGGTCTCACATTTAAAGAAGCATATTCAGTGTTAAAACATGTACTAATAGAATATCAAAATTGCAAAATTGGAAGTAAATTTTAAATAACTCTACTTTCACAGCTTTTGTTTTGTTTTGTTTTTTTGTGTTTTTGGCCACATGGCATGTGGGATCTTAGTCCCCTGAGTAGGGATTGAACCCAAGCCTTTGTAGTGGAAGGTTGGAGTTCTAAACACCAGACCTGCCAGGGAAGTCTCTCAAAGCACTTCTGATATTTAAATTCCCTCTTTAGTCAGACACCCAAGTCACTTTAGGATCATAAAGCATGTTGATGAATCAG